GCTTCCACTGTATGAATCATGTATTTCACACATAAGTAATTTATATACAATTGAATCAGACCTCATCGTACCATAAAATAGAAAATAACAATTATGCCGGATCAAACCAAAAGTGGCTGTGTGTGAGAGACTGGGAATAACTTAAGAATAATAAACCGTGTAATAATAGTCAGTAGGTCAAATAAAAGCTTACGATGAAAGAAATATGAGTATATATGTATTCTAGTTACTTAATAGTTATACAATAGAGATATATATAATAATAGTCTACTAATAACTCCTAGCAGTTACCATTCATTTATTCTAAGTTAGAATATATCATACAGTGTTTCTTTCATCTCGTAGATTGAACTATTCAAACATTTGTGATTAAAGTAATTTGTAACCATGGAAATCTTGAATGAATAGCATAAGCGTTAGTAGTGTTTTTATTTTATCAACAGTTTTACTTCGAATTTATCATAAGATCGCTTCTATTTCATCTTTACCGAAATAGAAATAATCGGTATTATAAATTATTTGTAAGAGTTTGTATCTTTCATTTTTTTGATGCTAAGTACTACAATCTGCTGAGGATATACCTCGAAAATGGGTGATCCAAGCCGGTGGTTATCTTAACTCAGCTACTCTAGGCCCCCAAATGCCCTGGTACGGCCGAGAGTGGGGAGAGTCTACTCTCCCTCTCGAAATGCTCTCACATGGCCAGCGAATATATAGCCTCTGCCAGGGAAGTCCTACTCACTGCCTTCTCGTGGCGGGGGTGTTGTTTACGAAAGTGAGAGGACGAAAAGCGAATGTCCGGCGCTATAACCGGATTGATGGACACGGAGGGTCCACCTAGGGGAGTTGGAAAACCCTGATTCCAAACCAATGGTGCACATGGGCTCCAGTATCCTGATGGAACGAATGGCGGCAGAACCTGTCATTGGTCAACGGCAACCATGGGACTGCATCTCCTCACGATGCTCCACTGCCTTGTGGATCAGACCTTTAGGTCAAAGGCTCGGGGTGTGGTCCCCTAAGAAAACCACCTGTTTCGGTTTGGGCACCTGGGCAGTATCACAGCCCACACACAAATGAATGAAATTATGAACTCTATTGACGATAATATCCCTGGTCATACTAAAAGCAAGACAATTAACATTATTATTATTATTACTTTTATTATTATTATTATTATTATTATTTACCATATCGCTAACTCACCCCCTTTTATCCCCAATTTGTGTAACCTTACTTTTCAACTTATGCAGCAGCTCGCCCATGGTGGAAAATCTGTCCTATCTAAACGATCTCCAGTCACTGTCTGGTTGAAAGTGAATGCTTCCACCGATAATGAATACTGAGGCAGTCTTTCTGAAACCACGTACGCCGTTCAAGCTGGCTTCCTTCAACGTTCGCACACTAATGCATATCAGACAACAGATAGGGCTGGCTATGTCTTTGGAAGGTCTTAATGTTGATGTTTGTTGTCTATCCGAGACCCGTATTCAAGACTCTAGTGAAGTACTACAAATCCGCTCTCCATCTGTCGCCTCGAAGAGCTTGTTCCACGTGCGCTTATCCGGGGACCCTGTGGCATCTTCGTCTGGTCTTGCTGGCGTTGGTGTCGCACTAAGCGCTAGAGCTGAGGCAGCACTAATCGATTGGATCCCCATTAACAGTCGGTTATGTGCTGTTAGGTTAGAAAGTTCCATCAAAGTGAGAAGAAATCGGCGTGAGAAACGGTGTCTTTTCGTCATCTCCGCCTATGCCCCGACAGATTGCAGCCCGGATGCAATCAAGGATGAGTTTTACCATCAGTTAACAGTTCTTCTCCAGAAAGCGCGTTCGACAGATATTGTAGTATTAGCCGGAGACTTGAATGCTTAGGTCAGGCATCTAAGCCCAGAAGAGAGTCGTTTAGGTGGCCGATGGGGACTTGTTGGTCGCCGGACAGATAACGGGGACCGTTTGCTGCAACTGTGCACAGACCACAACCTGTTTCTGGCCAGCACTAACTTCCGGCACAGTCATCGCCGGTGTGCCACCTGGCGTCCTCCCTCTGCATCCCAAGCCTGGACTCAGATTGATCACATCGCGATCAGCTACCGCTGGCGTGGTTGTGTACAAGACTGCCGCTCCTTTTGGAGTACCTATCTGGAGTCTGATCATGCCCTGGTCTGCGCCAATCTCACCTTACTTTTCAGTGGCCGAAGGATTGACCACCACCAACGGATTGATGTTAGTAAACTGGCTGCAACTTCTGTTGCAAGTAAGTATCGAGCGGAGCTAGCCTCTAGGCTAGCTACCACCCCACTGAAAAGTATAGATGAGCATTGGTTGCATCTTCACGACGCCATGAAAATGGCGAGTAAAGCTGCTTGCGGCTTCGCGAAACGTCCCGCTTACAAGCACTGGGTTTCTTCTGGCTCCTTACAACTGATGGAAGCCCGTCGGTCTACTCTGGGTGACCGTGAGTTTGACCACAAACAAAGGCTGTTACGTAATGAAATTGGGCAAAGCTTGCGTAAGGACCGCGAAGCATGGTGATCGGAGCGTGCTAATGAGATGGAAGCAGCAGCTGCATCTGGTAACTGCCGGAAGCTCTTCCAACTCATCCGAGCCACTGGCAGCAAGAAGTCTGGTGTGAGTGAAACAATCTACGAGGATGACGGGATGCCAATCACTAACATCTGTCGACGTCTTGGACGATGGGCTGAATTTTTCGAAGGGCAGTTCAACTGGCCTGCTGCTCCGGCAACATCAACCAGCTTGTCCTGCTCCCCATGGCCGGTGACGACTGATCCACCAAACGAGGCGGAAGTCCTCAAGGAACTCCAACTCTTGAAACGTTATAAATCACCTGGCCCAGATGACTTACCTCCGGCTCTTTTTAAAGATGGTGGTGACTTTCTGGCTAAGGAACTGACTGCGTTGTTTGTAAAGGTTTGGGAGCAAGAAAGTGTTCCAACATCCTGGAATGAGTCAATAGTCGTCCCTATCTTTAAAAAGGGTTCACGTTGTTCCTGCAATAACTACCGGGGGATAAGTCTACTTTCGATTGCGTCCAAACTATTGGCTTCTATCATTCTTCGTAGGTTGTTTAAAACCCGAGAACGATTGACTCGCGAGGAGCAGGCTGGTTTTCGTTCTGGTCGAGGATGCATTGATCATATCTTCACCCTCCGCCAAATGTTAGAACACTGTCATACTTATCGCAGGCCAACAATCGTAGTGTTTCTTGATATCAGGGCGGCCTTCGATTCGTTGGACAGGACTGTTCTCTGGGATTGTCTATTGAAGAAGGGTGTGCCTGAGAAGTTCATTAACATCTTAAAGGCCCTGTATACGAACACCTCAGGCAGAGTGAGGGCATACAACCACCTTTCTCCCTTGTTCCATTCGAACAATGGGGTTAGGCAGGGTTGCCCGATCTCACCATTCCTCTTCAACTTTGCCATCGTTGACATCCTGGAAACAGCTCTGGTGGATGTAAGTAATGGCGGTGTGGATATGTTGCCTGGAGAACGACTTCTCGATCTTGAGTATGCGGATGATATTGTCTTACTGTGCGATAATGCCCAAGGCATGCAATCAGCACTTAATCAGTTGGCAATCAGTGTCCGCAGGTACGGCATGTGCTTTGCACCCTCCAAGTGCGAAGTACTCCTACAAGACTGGCAGGATTCTCATCCTGTACTCACCCTGGATGGTAAGTAGATTGAAGTAGTTGAGAAGTTCGTGTATCTAGGTAGCTATATAAGTGCTGGTGGTGGCGTGAGTGATGAGATCGATGCACGTATAATGAAAGCCAGAACGGCTTATGCCAATCTGGGCCATCTTTGGCGCCTTCGTGATGTTAGTCTGGCTGTAAAAGGTCGGATCTACAACGCGTCGGTGAGAGCAGTTTTGCTCTATGCTTTTGAAACCTGGCCTCTCCGAGTTGAGGATGTTAGACGTCTCTCTGTGTTTGATCATCGTTGTCTCCGAAGGATTGCTGACATCCAGTGGCAACACCATGTTAGTAATGCAGAGGTTCGGCATCGTGTGTTCGGGCGCAGAGACGATAATTCAATTGGTGTCACCATCTTGAAACACCGACTTCGGTGGCTTGGACATGTTTTACGAATGTCGTCTCAGAGACTTCCACGTCGTGCATTATTTGCCGACCCTGGGACTGGTTGGAGAAAGCGGAGAGGAGGTCAGTGTATGACATGGTGTCGTGGCATGAAAAAAAACTGCAAAGGGCTAGCTTTTGTTGGTCCTTCACGACTTCCTGGTTGGGGTCCGAGAGATGGTGCAACACAGTGGCTAGAGACGTTATCAGATATGGCTCAGAATAGAAGCCAGTGGCGATCCTGCTGCAACCTTCTTTTACTTTCTACATAAAGAATGGTTCTAACTTTCCTAACTGAAAGAGTCTTCTGGTTGTACATTTCAGTCCACCTTATCTTTTCATCCCTTCTCTTCCTACTTTCATTATTTTGTGTGGCGCATATGTACCTGGTGCCCTTTCGTACCAATATATATGTGTTTAAATAAATAAATAAATAAATAAGATAACACATTTGATGTTCGAAAAAAGGGGGAAATCGGGTTCAAGTCTTAGAGTGAACGACGACACTGAGGTTGAGGTATATCTTACTGATAAGTCCTAGATAGCACGAAACATTCATCCTGATTTTGATTGCAAGCTAATATTAAAACTTGGCTTAAAATTATTAATATAGTTTACCATGTAGAACAACATAGCATTCTTGGATAACAAATTCTATGATTTTGATAGATCATCTTTCTATTTCTAAGAAAAATAGAACAATTTCTCACATGGATTTTCTTTCAACAATTAAGTAATTATAACATTTATCTTCATTATATGAGCATTCCATTTCAAGGTTATCAAATCATATAAACCATTTCCATTGGTAGAAATTATACAATTTGTATATGACTACATATGATTGGAGCTTTTAAATCTTAACACTTTTCCATTTGTCTTCTCATTTATTAGTTATTATTATTATTGTATTCGTCTTTTTAAATGAATATTTTCTTTGTATATTCATTATATACATATGCCGATTTTCCCTATATAAACTCAAAACTACAATAGAATAAGGAGAAAAAAAGCAGTGAAGAAAAAAAAAAGTTTATTTTTCCCAATTTACTATACCAAATTAGTTTCCAAGAGGGAAAAACTAACTTAACCTTACCTTATTTTTTTGTTTCTAAGTTAAAGTAACTGACTCTTTGGTAACAACTATTACGATTTAAAACAAGAAATGCAAAAAAATTTTTTTACCTTAATTATTGATTATTACTTTTAAACAATTATTATTATTAATTAAAAAAAAATTTTAAATAAATAAATAAATAATATTTTTTTAAAAATTTAACTAATTCTAATGGGTTCAGAACAAAGTCGTCCAAATAATAATAATAATAATAATAAACCAAAAAAATCAAGTATCATATGGAATTCACAAAATCTTGTAAAAAAAAGTATCACTTCATTAAATAATTCAAAACCAAGAGAAAATTCTAATGATAATAATTCAAATCCAAATCCAAATCAAGATCAAAATACAGAGAATGATAATATAAATTCACAAAGTATAACAGAAAATAAATCATTTCGACAATTATTTAGTGATTTAGAATTAGATGTATTATATTCAACATGGCCATTACTTTCAAAAAATCCTATACGTACTGGTTGTTTAATATTTAAAAATGCATTTGAAATTCATCCAAAATTATCGACATTTTTTCCATTTGGGTAAGTATGTATTTTTTTTTAAATGAATAAATTTTTTAATAATAAATGATTTTATAAAATAAAATTGAGGTTAGATGAATAATGGTTAGCAGTGAAATTCAGGACGAGCGTTTCGTCCTATTTGGGACTCGTCAACTGGATGTACATGCGTCTCAGAGTTGATGTTCACACTGGATGCACATATGCCAACAAGAGACTGATCATTTGCAGTCCTAAATAAAAATGAAACGATACATGTAAACAACACCAAGTGAAGTTAAAATTAAGATTAATTTTAAATAGTTTAGGGATTACTGATTTATTAAAATAAAAAAAATTGATATACGATATAATTATTCGAAGGGGGTTTTGTGGAGATTTTAGTAATTTTATATAGTTGAAATCATGAGTCAATTGAAGCTAGACCAACATGGAAAACCTGAAAGCACTGGACGGCCGTCACGTCGTATGGTGAGACTCTTCAGAAGTGCGCATCCACGATCCCGCCTCAGGAGATTCGAACCCGGGACCTATCGGTCTTGCACGCGAACGCTTAACTCAATTCAGTCATGATTTTAGACACAAAATTACTAAAATCTCCACAAAATCCCCTTCTGATAATAATCATATACTCACTAGTGACTGGCTCAGTGAGGATTTTCTCGGCGTTCTAGTGAGAAACAGAGATCAGTGGAGTTCAAGCGAGTCTGTTGTGAGATATTAACTATCTGAAGACAATGGTGGATGGTGGTGCAACTTCGTGAATTGATTGAAGCGAGACATTAACCTCGTTGGATGCCGGCTCAGTGGTCTAGAAGTTAGGCGCTTGCGAGCGAGAATGACAGGTCCTGGGTTTGAATCTCGTGAGGAGGGATCATGGATAGTCACCGCTGAGGAGTCCCACAATATAACGAAATGATCTTTCAGTGCTTCTAGGTTTCCCATGGTGGTCTAGCTTCAATTGATTCATGATTTCAACTATATAAAAACGCAATATCATTATTTATAAAATTTTTATATAACTACAATCTTATTGTAAATAGGACAGAGATATTTTGATATGTTGAAATTAAAGTATCTAATTAAAACGATGATTTAATGATTGATATTTTACATGATAATTAATTCCTATGAATTAAAATGATTGATTTCATCTTGTTTATAATTATGTAATTGTTCAAAGTGTTTGTTTAGACTTTTTTATTACAGAAATGTTTCAAAAGATAAATTGTTTAATTTTCTTTAACATTTTAAGATAAATGAAGCTGATTACTATATAGCTAATGAATAACAGTTATTACATCAGAAAGGAGTTTTGTGGAGATTTTAATAATTTTATACAGTTGTTCGAATCTCACGAAGCGGTATCGTGGACGCGCACTGCTGAGGAGTACCAAAATAGGATGAAACAGCTGTCCAGTGCTCTTATGTTTTCAATGGTGGTCTAGCTTCAATTGACTCATAATTCCAACTATATAAAATATTATATCATTTGTATGAAATATTTTAAAATGGAAAAAATACATGTAAAGTTATTTGTAATGTTAGTAATGTATTAATAATGTGGAAAAATTAACTTCCATGCTTATATAGTTTCAATAATGTGGTAAAATCCTCAGTAGTGTGCATCCATGATTCCGCCTCGTGAGATTAGAACTCAAGACTACTGAGCTGGCATCCAACGATGTTAATGTCTAACTTCAACTAATCCACGAAATAGAGTGATATATGCACCGTTTCTTTCAGGTTTTCCATGGTGGTTTAGCTTCAATTGACCCATGATCTCAACTATTAAAATTACTATAATATCCACAAAACTTCTAACAATAGTGTGGTTAAATAATAATTAGTACGACTACGTAATAAAATATGCTTAACTAATGTAATTTTCAATTAGAATAAATAACAATCAGAGTAAATTTGTCCCAATATGTCAGATTCATAAGGTGATAAGAAAAGTTGAAAAAAGAGTTTATTAATATTTTTGTGGCATTATAAGATGAAGAAGTTGATTAGAGAAGTGATTTTAATCAATAAATTAAAAGGAGAGTTCAAAGAAAGAATCATATTTTAGGAAGTTTACAATTCTTATGGTCAGACAGTTTTTTTCATGAGAGTAGTTATGCGTAAAAAGAAAAAAACAAACAAATTTTTATACTTTTAAACAATCGGAAATTAATCTTGACGTTAATATAATTACGTTTAACAGGAAATAAAAGATTAATTCATAGACAAAGTTGAACTAGATAGCTATTCAATCCTATACTAGAACCTAACAGCTATCCTGTGTTTCTTCTTGTCGAATGATTGTTTTAATAAAGTCAATAAAACTGTAAATAAAATTTCAATCGATAAAACAGTATAATAGTTTTGAATTATACTGGTATGATTGCGAAAATACTTTATCTCATATCAGCAGATCTTCTCATTTTAGTAAACTTCATTTTATCTAAGATTCATGAAGTATATTTATTGGAGAATTATTGCTAAAATAACGTGTGTAAAAATTTATTGAATTATTCTGTTGAACATACCGAACATTCTTTAGCTGGCAGCTTAAATACATGACTTTTTTTTATTTATTTCTATTGCAAGAAGTGGCAGTCGTAACACTATATGTATGCCCAATTATATAACTACTTAAATTTCCAGTTTGAGGTTGTGGATATTGAACTTCATTGAAATTGTGAACCGATTAATGTTAGACCACCACTGAAAACCTGAACGATCGTTTTGTCACCTCGCCAGTGCGTATCCACGGCCCCACACACAGGATTTGAATTCAGCACCTTTGGTACAACATTGATCGGTCCATGATTTCAGTAAAAAATCGAAAATATCAGCAACCCAAAAATGAGAATTATCATGTCCTCACCAGTAACTAGCTTTAAGAGGTAAAACTTGGAATTCTAGTGACAAGACGTGACATTACAGTTCAACCTTGTGGAGTTTAAGGCACTTACACACAATAGAAGATGGTCGTGCAACATCATGAATTGGCTGAAGCTACACATTAACACTATCGTATCCTGGCTCAGTGATACAGAGGTATTAGACGTTTGCGCGAGACCTAAGTTCCTGCATTCGGGTCTTGTGTGCTTCATCGTGAATGCTCACAACTGAGGTATTCCATACTAGGACGAAATAACCGTCTAGTGCTTCTAGAGTTTTAATAGTGGACTACAATTGATCAGTTCAAGATTTTAGTGGATAAATTTTACTGCTTGTTAAATATAACTACTATAAATCCTGAGAAAGAGAGTTAAAGTAGTATCATGTCATCAAATGATACATTCTTCAGAAAACTAATTAGTTTATTGTGAACAGATATTTCACTTTCACAAGCAGGGTTTGTGGAGATTTTATTAATTTTATATAGTTAAGATCATGAGTCAATTAAAGCTAGACCACCGTTGAAAACGTGGAAGCACTGGATGGCTCCCAGGTTTTCCACGGTGGTCTAGCTTTAATTGACTCATGATCTTAACTTTGCAATATAGATGAATTTATTTAGAAAGATTGTAGAATTCGCATAAATTTAAACATATCGATATTGTATTCAATGTCTATAAGTTGAGTTATTAATATTACTAAGCTCGTAGTTTTATTTTTTTCGTAAACAGAATTTTTAACATGAATTAACATTTAATAAATTGAATTTACATAGTTGAGATCATGAATCAATTGAATCTAGACCACCATGGAAAACGTAGAAGCACTTGACGGCCGTTTCGTCTTATCATGGGACTCCTCAGCTGCGCGTATCCACATTGGATTTACATAGTGATTATTACAATAAATGATTTTCATCTTTAAAACATTTGTAATTCAGAGGATTCGTTTATGCTTTTTTTTTGTTTTTATTACAATCCAATAATAAATAAACTTATGGATATGAGATTATAAGAGAAGTAATAAACATGATTTTCTCTACATTTCCTGTCATATGATAAAACAAAACTGGTCAAATTTACATTAGTCTACTATTCATCAATATTATTTTATTATTTTTCGTCTAGACTACAAATGAGGGGACAGAATACAAAGGGTTGATGATAAAAGGGACAGTTATTCAGATTACATGAATAAATCAAAATTATATTCAAACAAAAAATATAAGAAGGGTTTTTTTGTGGATATGATAGTAATTTCAGTAGTTGAGATCATTAGTCAATTGAAGCTCACTAGTGACTGGCTTCAAGAGATATTTACTGGAGTTCTGGTGAGAAGCAGTGACCAGTGGAGTTCAACCGAGTTTGTCGTGAGACAGTAACTCTCTGAAGTTAATTGTGGATGTATCGCTCAATCTCGTGGATTAATTGAAGTTAGACATAAACACCGTTGCATGCCAACTCAGTGGTCTGGAGTTTAAGAGCTCGCGCGCGAGACTGATAGGTCCTGGTTTCGAATCTCGCGAGGTGGGATGGTAGATGCGCACTGTTGAAGGGTCCAATAATAAGACGAAACAGCCTTCCATTGCTTCCAGGTTTTCGATGGTGTTTTAGCTTCAATTGACTCATGATCTCAACTATTGGAAAAAATAAAAAATAAAAAAGATGAATATAGAATAAAATAATGTTATGTATAGGCTCATCTGATATATAAATATATATTTATATATATAGTAGTTATATTACGTAATTTGCATGTAGTTTTATTTTTTCATAAACAGAATTTCTAACATGAATTAACATTTAATAAATTGAATTTACATAGTTGAGATCATGAATCAATTGAAGCTAGACCACCATAAAAAACGTGGAAGCACTGGAAGGCCGTTTCGTCCTATTATGAGGTTCCTCAGCCGTGCAAATCCACGATCCCGCCTCACAAGATTCGAACCCAGGACCTACCTTCATCATCTTCATCTGCATTGGTTGGGGAAGCTAGTAGACTGATCTTTTAATATCTTTTTTATTAAGATTTATTGACTGATTACTCTAGTAGACTTTCCCTATCTTCAATGTCATTCTTTTCAGTAAGTTCGTCATATCAGTAGGCCGGAAGTAAGAAATGCATAT